TCATAGGATGCTGCTGTGGAGGCAAAAAAAAAAAAAGCGTGTAGCTAGATAAAACTTTAAAATTTTCTTTTGACAATTAAAAGTTTATTTTGCTACATTAACTTTTTTACTAAAAATATATGCAGCAACTGTTTTTCAAAACGCCTTAATACGCTTATGACGTAATTCAAAAAAAACCTAATTAAAAATAAAATTGTCTTCGTAAAACGTTTTTTGAAACGAATAACTTTTATTTGGTTTTTTTTTCTTTTGTGCAACTTTCTTTTCAATAAATTTCTTTACCTTTCAGAATATGACCATTTTTAACAATGCTATAGAAAAAATATCAGTAAATTGATTAGTAGTATTTCAATTATATTAATTAGATTAAATTATATATATTAAATTATATATTATATATATTAAATTAAATAGATAAATAAATTGATATTTAGTTAATACATGGGTATATTTTTTTTTTTTATACTTAGTGACAAATTAGACTAATTAGATAAGTCGTTAAGTAGAATGCTAAGAATATATTTATGGCGGTTATTGTTGTTAAAGGTGATTAATAGGCAAATAAATTAAAAGCTAATCAAGGCTTTGAATAAATTATAAACTAATCAGGGAAGTTTTATTGGTAAACCTAATAAATAGGAAGATAACATATAATTCAGGTAGACATTGTTTTCACTTTTTCGCCAAACTTTGATATCTTTGATATTAAAAAATATGACCTTTCCAATAATTATAGATGGTAGTGTATTAACCTTTTTTTTCGGAACCACAATCCGTTATAATTTGTATTTTATTAATGTGAACGAAAGTCTATTCAAATATCTAAATATGTAAACTTTAAGTTCTTTAATTATCAATCAGTATAATTATAAAGTAGATGACATCAAATTCTACCGATTTATTTTTACTTAATAATTTCATTGCGACAATATCTCTTTATTTTAAAGCATTAAATGTTGTTTTTTAAAGTTTAATAAGTTTTCTGCTTATTAAATAGTGTAAAAAGATGATATAGCATTCCACAGCGATTGAAGTGCTTCGCTTCGGTTCAAAACCTTTTGCTTACACAATTTTTTTTTTAAATCCTATCCAGTTTTCTAGAAAACAAAGAAAAACAAGTTTAAATGCATATAGATGTTATACGCATTACATAAAAATAAAGATATAATATACTATAAGAAACCAAACGGAGAGAATTTTTTAAAACGTTTTCTAAAATTTTTAAAAACATAAAAACGCTGTTGGAAATTTGTTGCTCATATATCATGATAGAGATACTTATGTTTTAGGTAATTAGTTAAAACTGCGAGTTCAACACACATTAAAGAGATAAATTTCTTTCTTATATATATATAAAAAAGGTTTTACATGCAATCTGAAATTTTTTTTAAAACTAACTGGTCAAGAGTCCTAAAAAGTACGGAAAGGTATGAAAAAAAAAATTGTAATCTGAAACCTAAAAAAAAAAATTTAGTTACTCCAGAAGGTGACAAACAGAAAACCCACAAAATTTCGCCTAATCCGCTAATAGAAATGCTCGAATATTAAGATATAAACAAATATTAAATGATTTTTGTATTACGAAACGTACGCCAACTCTTAAACCACTGTAAAACTACCTTGCGGTTATCTATTTAAATCCACCAAATCCGTTAATAAAAACTGCTTAATTAATAGATTCAAAACCATCTGATTTTTGTATTATGATATGTGCGCCAACTGTACTCTAAAACCGGCCATGTGGTCTTCATATCGATTATAACAATTGCAAAGCGAGGGACGACAAGTAAGTTGTATCTACAAGTTTAATTATTGTAATCTTCATTTAAAAAATTAAACTTATTTTATAATTACCATGTTAATATGTTTGAAGTTAATATGTTTTTGACCCAATAGAATAAACATTAAGATTATTTTTTAGAAATGAGCAGCCAAGATACAGAAGGTATTCTTTTAATTTTGTACAACATTAATTAATTAAAGAGATAAAAAGAGATGATACGTCAATGATACTGAGATGTTTAGCTTATTATTTTATTAAGAAATTACATTAAGATAATTTTGTATATCTTTAGACGACGAAGAAGTTTCTGCATTTTTTCGAAGTAAGCCATATATATATATACTATATATAGTAGCAGTTACATATGTTCTAAAAGTGGCGGAGCTGTACTTGATTTACGGTGTGAATAAAACGATGATTTAATTTAGCCGTTTTTATTTAAACTCAACCATGATATGCCTCCACTAATATCGTGAATCAAGTACACCCCCCTAAAATTTAACTAAAATTAAGAAATATATAAATTAATTTTTAGAACTTTAAAATAGTGGACCCAAAACTCAGTTTTTGTTTATTCCGCTATTTTGATTGATGTTTTTGTAAAGCAGTGAACCTTAAAAACGCGTATAAGCTTTATTTAAGGTGTTTAAGCTATAATTTTATAAAACGTGTTTAAGCTAAAATTGACTTTTAAGTCTTCTAACTACTAAACTTTTACGTAAAATGAAACTTTTTGTCATTTACTGAATGTGTTAAATTATAAAACTGTGCAACAGTTTTATAATTTAAGACAAATCTTATATGTTTAATTGAAAAAGTAATTATTTTGAAAATTAATTTTGTATATATATATATTAGATGTTCAAGAGATCAGAGCCGAAGAGCTCTTGCCAAGTAAGCTAATTTTGTATGAGAAGGATATGTTACAAAGATATATATTTCACCAATTTCAGCAATTTGTTAATTATAACTTTTTTTTAATGTTTAGCGGAAGTAATGGACAAGCTAAGTGAGGAATTTTGTTGTTATTTTTTGTTTTTTTTTGTGTGCAAATACATTTATGCTTTTTTAGTTTTTTTAAAGTTATTTAGCAACTGACTTTTGTCAGTTGTGACAATTTGTCAGTCAGCAAGTGACTTTTGTAACTTTTAAATTTATTTTATTTAGAAAAATTAGAAGATTCTGTTGAGAATCTAAGTAAGCAATTTGTTATTGTTGTTGTCATGCTCTTTATTTTTTTTATTACATATTTATTTAACATAAAGTTATTCTATATTTGGCAAGTTAGTTTATTTTAATGTTTATAAGTTTTTCATTTTATTTAGAAAAATTAGAACATTCAATGGGTAAACAGAATTTGATTATATTACATTTGTGTATTATAGATAAAGATATAGCATTTTACTTTCAAAAAAAAAGATGTATTCTATGGTCTTTTAGCTTTTTTGATACAAATTTTAGCATTTTTTTTTATAGGGCTTATATTTCAACAACTTAGTAAGTTACTATATTGTTCTTGTGGATTGTTTCTTTATTTTTATTTTTTTATTTTTTTGTCGCTTTTTTCTTTTTTGGTTTGTTTTGTTTTGTGATTGTTATTTTTGCCTTTTGTTTTGTTCCAACTTTATTTATAGATTTCCTAAAGTTGACAAATATTCTGCATGTTAGTTTCTTTCCTAATGTTAATGAGTTTTTTTTTTATTCTATTTAGAAAATTTAGAGAATTCAATTGGTAAGCAAAGTACACTTTTGTTTCTTTTTGTTTAATTTTAACACACATTTTTTGATGTTTGTGTGCGGTTTTATCACTCTAAAATAAACTGTTTAATTGATTAGTATATGTTAGTTTATGTAAATATATTTTTTACCTCGACTATAGCGTCATCTGCAGTACCATCAGGTAACAAGTTTTGCATTCTTATGCAGTTTTAAGAGTGTTATGTGTGTTAAAACTTAAAGATAGCATATCTTAATTTACAGATTACTTTATTTATTTATTTTTTTGTCTCTACATTAGCACCTCAAGCAATAATATCAGGTAATCTGTTTAGCATACTTATGCAGTTTTATGGATTTTATGTGTATTGAAACTTAGGCATTACTGTTTTCATGCAATTACATAAATGTTTAACATATGTTACTTTATACACTTTTTTTTTTTTACCTTTACAATAGCATCAATATCATCTGCAGTACCATCAGTTAATGTGTTTTGCATACTTATGCAGTTTTATGAGTGTTATGTGTATTGAAACTTAAACATTACTTTTTTCATATTTGTTATCAATTACATAAATGTTTAAAATATGTGTTTGTTTATATACTTTTTTATTTATTTCCGCAATAGCAACAGTATCAACTGCAGTACCACCAGGTAATGTGTTTTCCATACTTATGCAGTTTTTCCGTACTTATGTATTGAACAGTGTTATGTGTATTGAAACCTAAACATTACTTTTTTCATGTTTGTATGCAATTACATAACTGTTTAATATATGTGTTAGTTCATATACTTTTTTATTTATTTCCATAATAGCAACAATATCTGCTGGACCATCAGGTAATCTGTTTTGCATAGTTATGCAGTTTTGTGGGTGTTATGTGTATTTGTGTAGGTATATATGAAATTTAAACATTGCATATCCTTATTTTTACATTACTTTATTTATTTTTTTTTTTGTCATAACTTTTTTTTTTTTGAAGTCTAAATAGTTTTAAATAATATTTTTATTGGTTGTTTTGTGCAGTATTGTATTCAAATTTATTTCTTTTTTTGTTTTTGTTTTTTAGCATCGCATCAAGATTTCCTGCAATATCGCTCCCAGCACCCAGGTCCAATATCTCCAAGAGCTTTTTACCGGTGGAGTCAATATGGGGGAGATGATCCATCCTTTAGATGGAGGAGACAAGCCCCATATGACACCACTGGTAGAAAGAGGGGTGCTGGAAAGCGGTTTAACTCTTTTAATTTCTACCAGTAGCTTTTTTAAACTACTGGTAGAATTATCTTCTTTTTTATTTATAAAGAAAATTGACTTTTTAAAAAAATGTTTTTTTTAATTTCGCAATTTTTTATTATTTTAATTTATATACTTTTACTATTTTATTTTTTTGATTTTTAATTCTGTTTTTAAATCCTAAACTTACAAAGAACTCTTATGTTATAAAAGTTTTTAATAATTTGTCTATAAGTTTTTTTATTAATTTACGTTTTTACATCTTTTTATCCTCATTTTTAATTTTAATAATACTAAATTTTCTTTTGTATTAACTTTTATTTGTTAAGTGTTATATAGTTTTTGAAAGATTTGGTAAATATATTTAAAGTTTTTCTTTTTCTATGATATCTGTTTAATATGTCTAATATATGCAATATACACCTATTAATCTCTTTACATTATTCTCTTTAGATATATTATAAAATAGTATTTAAAATCAGTTGTCAGCCACATGTGGTCTATATGATGCAACATGTTTGCAATTGTTGGCATGTCATTTAAAAATTTGTAACTAATTTTGCTTTTTAATATACCATTAATATGACTTAAAATAATAAATTTTTTTTTATTTGTTTTAAAAAATACTGTTTTATTTCTTACAATATACTGTGTTATTACAAGATACTTCTGGCTTTTTTTCTGTTTCAAACCAGTTTAGTTATATCTTTTGTTCACAAATTTTATTAGACGCTATACACATAGTTTCATAGGTTTAAACTGATAAATAGCACTTTATTGTTTTTGTTCATTTTAGATTAGTATAGCAAAAAATTAATAAGATATTCGTTTATATATCTTTATTTACATTTATGTGCTTAAGTTTATATAATTTTATATTAAGTTGTTTCCATGTGAAAAGTGGCAACGTACTTGGCAACGTGTAGTGCAAGATTGTGATTCTTGCTAGCCAAGCGGTGTTACTAATGATGTTACTTGGCACTTAATGCCAAGTGGTGTTACTAAATTGTGGTGTTACTTGGCAGCGTTTAGTGCCAAGTGGTGTTACAAGTGTTGAGCTAGGTTGTGTTGTCTAGCTTTTTTAATTATTCTGGAAACACATAATCTGAATATTTTGTGTTATGTACAAACATTTTATGCTATGTGTATTCAGTAGCACTGGCAGGGTCTTTTGATGCTTCAGATAGCACTTTCAACCAAACTTAAGTGTATTCACGTTTATAAAATTAAAAAACTTTGCAAAAAATTAATGTTGTTAAAGCTTAGGAACAAATGTTTAAAAAAAGTGTTTTTCCTAACCTGAATTTTTTTAGACATAACAAAGTTAAACTCTTCAACAGCTTCTAAATATATCTGAAACAACAAAAATCCTGCCTACACTATATATTCTATATATCTGAAACAACAAATTCCAAACAAAAAATAATTCTATATATCTGAAACAACGAAAATCCTGCCTACACTATATATTCTATATATCTGAAACAACAAATTCCAAACAAAAAATAATTCTATATATCTAAAACAACAAAAATCCTGCCTACACTATATATTCTATATATCTGAAACAACAAATTCAAAACAAAAAATAATTCTATATACCTGAAACAACAAAAATCCTGCCTACACTACTGGTGTTATTGTTTGTCATCCTGTAATATTGTTGTTCTGTTTTGTGTTGATAGACAGCTTGGCTTACCTTCACGTTGGTGTCTATTGTTAAAAATGATTATTGGGTAGCTTTATTACTGAAACTTACTCCTAATCATTCACTAAAAGCCAAGAAATATTTTAAGAAAAAGCCTAATTTTTTTGTGTCAGTAACAATTTTTATCTTTAGCAATGCTGATAAAACTGAATTTAAAAAAAAAAAAGAGTATTTCCAGCCTTCCAACCAAATATTAGAGACTTTTACAAAAGCACTCTCACAAAGTAAGTGTCTAATATTTATTTAATATTACTAAATTTCGTTTCGTATTTTTCATTTTTCAAATGAATTAACATAAAACAAATAAATGTGCGTTCAGTGTTATTAATAATGATTTTATTTCATTTTTAGATAATGCTTTTATAATCAATTTAAAAGTCTTTCAAATCGTTAATCATTTTCTAAAGGCGAAGAAGAAGAATCATCAATCTTCATACCATTTAATAAAGCTATTTTAATAAAACGCAATACAAACTGTTGTAAATTAGTATTTGAATAATTTTCACGTTGCTACCTTATTTTGCAGTTTCCTATCACTTTGTATTAAATTAACTAAATCCAATATTACGGTTCCTTATATCAAGTACTTCACATTTTCTGTTTTTGTTTTATGCAGAAAAACAGATCAATTAATTTATTTGACTTTCCTAGCTACTTATTTTACACGCCTAGCGACAGTGAGTGTGCATAAATCAACAGAGGATTTGGGTTTGGGCAGGTTGTCTTGAACTAAATGATTTACCTTCTTCATGTTAAGCTCTAAATATAAATATACGGAAAAAGTGCATATGTGAATTTTTTTTTTTTTTCTAGCACATAATCTATTGTTTACTAAAAAATATTAGAGGGAGAAATAGAGATAAGGTTAATGTGGAATAGAGTTTGTCCTTTTAAGTGAAAAACTATTTTATAATCTATCTATCTTCTATATAATAATCCCAAACTTAATAGTAGTGTTAGTAGAAAGAGTCGCAACACTTTTTTTAGAAGAAAACGTGTATGCAAATATCTAACGTACGTAATTAAGTAATGATAAAACATACTGAAACATTTTTCAAGTTTTATACTTTGACTTTGACTTAAAAATTGCATTGCTTCAACCTCTCCTAAATTTTTGATCTACAGCAATTCCGTTAAAAACAGTTTTTATATATTTTTAAAATTTCGATATTTGATGTGTCAGCATGGCCGAGTGGTAAGCGCGCTAAGCCTCTGAACGTAATAGTCGTGGTTCAAATTTACCGCCAGCGATTTTTTTCTATAAATTACAAAATATTTGTGAAATTAAACAATTTAAATGTTATACACTTTAACTGTTTTTATTTTTTTAATTTTATAAATTTTTTTGGATTTCTTAAAACACCAATAAACGTGGCGAAATTTTTTTGCGTGTGTGCCACGATTTTGATACTGTTCCCGCATAATTGGTCCTAATAAGCTACGGATAGTCTTAAAAAAAAAGGTCCTAAAACCTAATAAGGAAAAAATTTGATAAAACCGTCCTGCTACTCCACATGGTATTGCAGTGGAGGCAGGGAAAAAAAAAGCAATTAAAAGGTTTTTTGTTATATTATTTTTTTGCTATAAATATAGCCAGATTAAAAAAATTTTAAAAAATGTATTGAGATTTTTTAGGCGCGGATTTGAAACCTTCCACAGCGACTCTGATGACTGCGCACTTAACTTGTGAGCTATCAAAGTTATGCATGTAGTAGGTGCTTCAACATTTTTTTAAAAATGTAAAATAAAAACAAAATAAATACCATAAGTAAGAGCTAAATAATAACGTTTAAAAATTACCAAACTTTTTGTTATAATATTATTAATTCTTCAACTTTTAAACCACAAAAATTATTATTTATTTTTTTGCATGACTTTTGACGCTTTAAGCGACTAACGTTTTAAAGAATTGCATTACCGTTTCCGTCTAATACAAAGATAACTATAAAAGACCGTTATTATTCAAAACTAAGCATATAATAATAATAAATATAGTAAACTATTGAATATGGCTAGGACGCGACCATAAACCATGGTCCATGGCTGGTCTAAAAGTAGGAAGTAGTTTAGTTCAGAATTAAAAAAAAAAATAAAAAATAAACGGGGTTTAATAAGCTATATACGAATGCGGAAAAAGTGCGTATGTTAAAGTTTTTTTTTGCTCTTAAAGCAAATTTTTTTAATGAATTTTTTTCCACAGTTTACTAAAAAATATTAAAGTAAATAAAGAACAAGTAAAGAAATGATTGGCGTGGAATTGATAAATATAGAAGTAGAAGAAAAGACCTGTATTTACCGATACGGACAGCAAGATTAAGAAAATAAGGCAAAAGATTTGTGTGGAATAGACTTACAAAAACCCGTATTTTTACGGGTCAACTCAGCTAGTATCATAATATTCTTGATAAACAAATATGTCTCACATCTATATAATCACTGAATCTTGTTACTCAAATGTATCTTACAATTACATTAATCTTAATTGTTAATTAATTAATAAATAAACAAAAATGATAAGAATATGATTGCACTAGTTACATCCAAATGCACTTTAAGGTTGTCCAAAAGAAGAATTTAGAAAGCCAAATGATAGTGTCACTGTATGAAGCCAAAATTATCAAATGTTGGTGCGTTTACGTTTACGATTCCCCCTACAAAAATGCTAAACCATAAAAATGCTACAAAAATTTTGACTAAAAAAGTCAAAGATGGTTTGCAATGAGTTGAAATCTAATAAGTTTGGTAAGTTTGCCATTGTTGCAGAAAATAAAAGTGACTTAATGCTTTTAAAAAAGTCAAACAAAAAAAAGTTGTGTAAAGCAAAACAGAAAGTAATTGATTAGTTAGATTTGATTGAAAAAATGCTTTACAAAAACTAGACAGTAATTTAGATTTGATATTTTTTCTTGATGATATTTTATTGTCATTAATAAAGCTAAATGTTGCAACTTTAATATTTAAAAAAGCAACTCTTATGTTTTAGGTTTTGTAGAAAACTAAAAGCCTTAAATGTATATTTATTAGTTTTAGTATGGAGTTTCAAGTGAAATTATTTAAAATCTTTTTGAATGTTTGCTTTCAATTGAAAAAATATTTTGACTTTTAAGAAATTTATTATCCACAAATTTTAAGGAAAAGTTCTGATAGGCCTTAAAAATTTTTCATTATTTGAGAAATATCCTGGCAAAGTTTTCGAATTTTATAACAAAATTTTATATCCTTGAAAATAGGAAAAGGGTCCCAAAAAGTCCAGGGATTTTAATTTTATTTTTCTGCTGAAACCTTGAATTACAAGATTTTGATTATAAGCTGGTAAATTAAATTTATTTATAAAGTTCAAAATCTTGAAATTACTTAGAGTTGAAAAGAAATCCTGTTTTAAAAACATGCTTCTTTTCTTTACAATTTTGAACTCATGCGATGAGGTACTTTCAAATCTTAATAATCTGTCAATATCTGATTAATCAGTAATAAGATCGAAAACTTTATTTTATTTGATAACTTCTGTTGTAAAGGATGAATCTTATGTTATTTTTAATTAGTAAAGTAACTTTTAAAGTCAGGTAATTTATTTTATTTTTATTATAATTAAAATTTTTTATTATAATTAATAATATTATAATTAAAAGTTCAGTCATTTTCTTCAGGGATATTATGTTAGTACATCAGGAAAATTTATCTACCTCTTTATTAGTTTATAGACCACTTTTTAAATAGAAACCACTGCTTAATTACATCTGGAGACAAAGTCCCACTGCCATTATTACGAACCTTGCTCCTCAATTTGAAGAAAAATTTCCATCAACTTTTTAAATAAGATCGCCCCCTTACCCTCTTTAAATTTGAACAATAACTCCCACCAACGCCTATCATTCCCATTCCACTTTGCATTAAAAACCTGAGAGTTCTATTGGTTATGACAGTTTAGATTAAAAAAAAAAAGAAATCACAAATACTATCTAAAATATTTTTTCAGAATAGGCATTACTATTTGAGTAAGTTTTATTTTTATTTGGAGTTGATATAAATTGGATGAACACATTCACTTATAATTAATATTAACTTTTTATTATTTTTGTAACAATAAATCGTTGTTTGTTAAAACCAAAAAGTTTGATCGTTTATTTTTATTCAAATGAAAGTTAAGGTCATTTTTGACCTGACAATAAGGTCATGAGTCAAAACTCAATGCAAGGTGAAAATATAAATTTTCCAGAAATAATTAAACTTAAATTTCACTATTTCATAAGAGACAGAAAATTAATTACAAAATTTTCTTCACTTTTCATACTATGGCCAGATGACAGCAATTTTTCTCTGCGTTTCTCAGCACCAATCAAAATTTTTTGGTCTGTTGTATGAATGCCTAATAAAGTAATTATTAAAATTTAAAACTTCAAAAATATGTTAAATTAATTTATGGCACAAAATTTTACCAATATTCTATTTTATTCCTAATGTCTAATTGTAAAAGAAATTTTTTAGCATATTTATAAATCTTTAAAGTTTGAAACTTAAAAAACAAATATAATCTTCGTATTAATAACAACCTTAATGTCTGTCAAAAAAAAGACTAGATTTGTTGCTTAGCATGGTCCTTATCTCTGGAACAAATTAGTATTACCAAATTTAGTTTTTTTTTATCAACATATGCTTTATTAGAATAGAAATTAAAAAAAAAAGAAGTGAGGCTTATTGTAAAAAGACTTTTGGTAGGTCTAAGTTTTTCACATACTATTTTTTTTAACTATTAACTAATTATCATAGCATTTTCTTAAAATAATATATTTAACAAAATTTTGATTTTAGTCATAAAAAATTAAATAAATCAAAAGTACGCTAATTATCCTCCATTTAATATTTTGACTTGACTATTAACATAAAACAATTTGAATTATAACAATGTACAAAGAACATTTTGATACAAAAGTTATTTTATTATTTGTCCTTATTTGCAATAACTTTAAATGTTAAAGATTTTATAACTTAAGTATTTTAAAATTAAATTACCTTTAACTGATTTTGTCAAGTTGACTTTTAATTTGAAAGTTTTCATGTCTGACCACTTAGTTAATGATTTAAAAGATAAGCATCTGACAGATGTTTAACTAATAAAATCATTTCTAAAAGTACAGTGTAAGTAGCTAGGCTCAAAATCACTAAAAAGAAAAACAATTTGAACATATTAATTTTCAACTTTAAAAACAATGCAATTTTCCATTGGAAAAATTAGTTAAAACAATTATAAATTATGTTGAAGCACATCACTTAACCTATCTTTTTCAGGTAAATTTTCCTGCTTGAGCAGTTTACATATATTCTCAATCAGATTTAAATCCAGATGATTTCTGGGATAATCAAAGACATCAATCTTTTTTTCTTTTAAAAACTTTGTAATGGTTTTCACCTT